TGGGTACTAAGTGCAAGGTATCTGGCTACTAAATAATAAGGTAGTTAGTAAAATTCCAAATGAATTTCTGAATTCTGACACTGATGTCTTAGGTCGTAAGGTGTACCACCAAGGTAACAAAACATTAAAAGGTCTATTTATTAGGATAATTTTAGGTGTTAACATACTCATTGTGTTTTTAAAATTTCAGCCATGCATGGTTACATGACAGCCAGGGGAACCCCGGACTGCCCAAGGTCAGCGAGATATATACTGAAAGATTATGTAAAGGTCAGTGGTGATGTTTTTTACTTTCATAGTTTTGCTCGGTGTGTCCATCTCATGATAACCACTTTGAGTTCCTACAATAATAACATCGAAGATTGAACCAAATATTGCTCCATAAAATCACAGACATTACAAAAAAAAGAAATAGTGTTAAGCTTTATGTTAATTGGCTTTGAAAGAAAAAAAGAATAACTGCCATGATGTTTTAACTCTTTCTCTCCGTAATTATTTACCACATTCTGGTGGAATCAACGCTGGTATCGTCAGTTAGGAGAGAAAGAGTTAAATGCTAGAAGGTAGTCTATCTCTAAACATTTATATTTGTTGTCAGCTATTTACCTCAACTGATGTATAACTGCCCTGATGTTTTAAATGCTAGAAGGTAGTCTATCTCTAAACATTTATATTTGCTGTCAGCTATTTACCTCAAATGATGCTAAATTATTAGCAATATTTTGATGCTACAGACTTCCATATTTTTTCTTTTAAAGCTTCAGTTTAAAAAAATCATATAGGTTGGCAGCATGAGCCATTTATTAATTGGAGTTGATATTTGAGGGAAAACAAACCAATGGCTCTAATTTATAATGAAAACTTCTGTAATTTCCTAGGCTCTCTATTGCATTTAATGTATAGGTATTGTCTTAATACTGAACCTAAAATATGAAATAATCTTTTAAGAGGATTCACCTTCACCCATCCCTTAATCTGTTAAACTTTTGGGGCACCACACAAGATCTGTTGACCATCTTTCTCCATTCTTCTCTGCCTTGTGCCTTGGAAAGAATTTCATTCAATAACAAGCCTGTCCATTTTTTATGTCTTCTCATCTCTGTCTGCCTCTTCTTCTTTTCTCTGGTACTGAAGACCTTTTAGAGTGGCCATAGAGTTTAAGTTTGCGTTTTACAGTGGTTAGCAGGTCATCCAATTGCTGTATTAATCCTGTTTCTAATCTCTTCTTTTGTGATGCAGTCTTTCTGAAGCATCTCAATTCCATTGCTAGTAGGATTATATTACTAGAAATGTGTTTAAGTTTCGAATACATTTTACACTATCAATTTCAGGGCAAGCTGTTGTACTGTGAGCCTCCTCCTGGTATCTCAGGACCAGAGTTTCAGGACAAGGAGAGAATACTCAAGATTCAAGAATTAAAGCCAGTGAAAGCTGTGAGTAGCCAAAAGTTTTCATTAGTTCATCCTTTTGTTGAGTTAACAGGATTGGGCTACCTCACTTTATGGATACAATTAGTGAGAGAGACTAATGTTGAAAGTAGACTAGAGCTTCATATGGCTAGTTTGGAATTATCTTGTTTAGAAAATCAACTAATTTATCTGTTATATTGTTTTATATAAGAATGATTTAAAGAATGAAATTAAACAAAAAAATTCTTCTTGTTCATTTCTTTATCTTTACTTTCATAATATATTTAGTTCTGGAGTCATTACTGATTTGCGCAAGAGTCATAAATATTATTAGCAGCTTTTTTGTATTTCTGTTAGAAAGCATTTAATATGCCTGATAGAAGGCATAAGTATTTATGTTAGGGCGTTTTTATATTGTCTCAAAATCCAAAACAGTGAAATAATTTCAAGCTCAAAATGAACTTAACTTATCAGTGAATGTTTGAATGATGATAATACTTTCTGTTCAAACAGTTCATAGAAGAGAAGAATGTTCATTTTGAATTCAAGTTCATTTAAATGAAACTTCTTACTTTTAGTGTTCTGATCAAGTTGATGCAAACTGATCAGTACATTTTTGTTCTAGGCACCTCTGGCGGAATTCTGTTTATTTCTCTTTAAGAAAATCTCTTTTGTTTCTAGTCTGGTGGGGCTTTGGTCAAAGTTTTTTTATTCCAATCTTGCCACTGAAAATAGCCTGGTGCTGTGAGAGATTTGTAAATAAAGGTGGCCCTGAAATGTCTCTGAAGTGGGACTTCCCACTCTAATTGTTTTATGTCCCTTCTTTCCTGAATTGGGTCACATATTTTATTTTTTCGACATGACCTCTTTTATGTCTTTTTATTGTTTCCCCCATTGTTGGATAACTAGCTAAGGAGCAATACAACAATTGTGTTCCTGTCAAAAACCTTGGTGGGTTAATGTTAATACTGTAAACATTCTTATTTTGGACCCATTCTACTGTATAAATACAAATAAATAGGAGTATTGTCCTAATGTTTAACATTACAAAATGTTCAAAATGTCAGTAGAAAGCTTTGCATAAGCTGGTTAGCCAACAAATCATAATTTTTTTATTTTTTCATACCCTGCATTTCACTTGATGTGGATTTCTACTTTTCTAATAAGACACTGGCATCACTCCCAGCAAATATTTGTAGCGTTCACAGTAGACGTTTGTTTTGCTAACTGCAGACAATTGTATTTTTACTGACAGTTTATTATTGTAAGTTATTTGTGTTTCTGTTGGGGGATTTAAGTGTTGTCTTTAAATTGATGTCATTTATAAAGTAATTGACATAAATATGTCTCTTCTCAGAGGGTGTCTCAAATCAGAAGTGATGTGGACAAGGAGTTTTTCCAGAAAGTAAGCATTTGATATATAAGTGATATAGCTCCTTCTTCGTAGTTGAAGATGAGCACATTCAGTAAACATTTACTCATTGGTGTAAACATGAACTCTTTCTCTCGTAATTATTTACCACATTCTGGTGGAATCAACGCTGGTATCGTCAGGAGAGAAAGAGTTAATTCACCTGTCTTAGCATTGATCGACTCACTTGATCTAATTTAAATTTAGCAAGAAAAAGGTAGATAAAGGATAAACCAAGAAAATGATTCCTTTATTTTTTTTTTCTTAATACTAATGATAAATTTGTATCTGAAGGGCTTAATTGTTTCACCTTTGATTTATTTCTTCAGAATGTGAGCAAAGTCCACTCAAAAGGTGTCATTCGACCAGCTCGACCTGATGGTCTGACCCAGCGGTCGTCTGATGGAGGGATGGGCAGTCAGTTGTCCATCGCGTCCAGTGCCACAGTGAAGCCCTGGAAGAAACACAACAACAAGAACAAGAAAGAAAAGCTACGCAGGGTGCACCGAGACCTTGATGTTCATGGTTAATGGAGTTATTGTTTTAGGTCTCAAAACCTCATGGTTAACCCACGAAGCGTCGTCGGCCGATATATTTCGTTTCTGTGGTGTCCCGGCCGATATAATCGGCCTACTTTAGATTGCTGATTTTCTATTCCAATCCACGTTTTAAAGCGACCATTTTTAAACTTCAGATCTATTAGACATTCTTCTTCCTGTCAGATCCAAAAATAGCCCATTTCCCCATCTGTTTTTGTGTTTACGTGCTGATTATTCACCGGCTAATTTTTCTTTCAATATCCGATGCTAGCCCTGGTCCATGAGATGTTACAAAACATAAAGTTTCAAATACTTTTAGTTGTTCTTTTTTAATATTACAATTAGATTTAGATCTAGGAATAATGAGAATATTTTACTCATTAGATCTAGATGTATTGATGAAGTGGCCGATGATTTATGTCCGTAGATCTAAAGTCTAGATCTAGACTAGAGACCGGACTGTATCTAGACCTAGTCAAAATTTAGTGAAATTTAAGACATTTTAAGATAGATTGAAGCATATTAATGATAATATTGATTTCTTTATGCATTAAGTATTCTATTTCTTCAATCTTTAAATGCTTTTAACTTAACTGAAAAAAAAACGATTTTCAACTATTTTTTTTCCTTCACTGTTACTTGTATTAAAAGGGTAACCAATTCACTAAAAAAAATTTTTTTCAAATCTAATGGTCCATTTTTAACAAAATTATATTTATTTATAAAAGAAAATGAATGGGCTATCCAATTACATCAAAACTTTTGTTATAGCTCTAAAAATGTTTCTCACAGAGGTCAGCAAACAAGCTTTTTTTTTTTTCAATCATACTAATTAGGTCAGGGTCAAGGTCAACTGATTAAATTCAGGTGTTCAATATATGATCTATAGTGTTCGCAGTCCAATTACCTTTCAGAATATATATAAAACATGGATATCATCCTTCACTTTATGGCATTTTAAGACCATTTTCTAACATGCATAAAAAATGCTAAAACTCCCTGAACGCCACAGAAAGTTTCTTAAGACGCTTCGTGGGTTAATAGATAATGTATTTAATTTCATGTCATTGCGATTCAAAAACTGTATACAATCACTTTCGTTTGTAATAAGAATTTACCTTGATCTACTTTCAATGTTAGGTATATTGATTCATTTCATGCTGATACAATTGTGGAGAGCTGCATGTTTTTGGGTTGTTTGCTTTAGGACAAGAGAAAGTGTTAGGCAAGGGCTGTAGTAATTATTTTTTTTGAGATCATAGATAATAAAGATACAAACTTGAATGTCACAGACATGTCTTTTTACTCCTTTTCTTTTCTTCCAAACCATTCATCCTTTACTATTTAGGATGCACCTAACAAGGGGCTAAGTTCGAATCCTGACTCGAGCAGAGTTGTGTTTGCTGAGTGCCGAAAGCAGCACAGAAAGTTCCTAGATACCCCCTTCTCCCACTGGTCCACAAAAGATAAAGGACCATAGAGCACTGAGATTGCTATAAGCATGACAGATTAACTATATATACAGCAATTTAAAAAAAATGTATTTTTAAGGCCAATTTTGTTTCAAAGTTATATTTTTTGTGAAATGTGGAGGCCGCTACACTTTTTGAAACCTTCAATACAAATCCACTTAATAATAAAAGAAATATCTAAAAGCATGCATTATTTTACAAGTAACAAAGTACTTGTAAATTGAAACTAATTTTTCCTTCTTTGAAAAAAAAAAAATTTAATATGCATATTTTGTTTCAAAAATGTATATTTTTGTGGAGGGTAAGGCCCTGAAATGGCTTATTATTGTAAATCCTGAGCTGCATTTAAATATTACAAGCACCCGACAATCGGACACCTCTTAACCATGACAGTGTTGCCAACTGTAAGATTTAAAATTTTGTCACTAAAATGCAAAAAAAACCCCAAAAAACCTGACCCGTCAAAATTCAGTTTTTGTTTTACATATATTGTGGAGGCTTCTCTCTTGTGGAAGCCCCTGGGGAGGTAGCCTCGCCTGACCTCACTTCTAAATCCAGCCCTAGGTAAAGATGACTAGAACAATGAGTTGTCCATTCATCTCACCAGAAATCTTGTGTGACAAAGAACAACTTTTTGTGCATTGTAACTAAATTTTCAGGTTTCTCTTAAGATACATTTAGCTTGACTGTAGTAAACAGCCCAATATGTCTTGATGGCACGCCACACTTTCTCACTATGACAATGTGGCTGATCTTGGGGCTTAATCTTCTTTTTATTAAAGGAACTTCTGTTATTTATAAGATTATTTGACGTTGGCCTGGATTTTAGGGTCTAAGTCTGTGTAGCTCTGACTGAGTCAGTGAGTGTCTGATAAATATTCTCGTACTGTAGTTCAGACTTGAACCTTTTGATCTTTCATTTACAACAGTGAAATGGAATGAATTAGATGTGTGATGAGTGATGATAGAGTCGTGTGAATTTGTAGCGTTAATTATTGAATGAGAAATAAAACATCAACTACCTAGACATTTTTTTAAGTCCATGAATTGTTGTCATTATTTGTTTTGTTTCCTTAGTTACACGTTCTTGCCCATAAGGAAGGGGGTGGGTAGAAGGCGATCGGCTGAAAATGTTCAGAACTGAAGTTCATTGTAGAAAGAGTTTTCAATCATTGAAACAGCCTTTAGATAGATGTCACCGCTGTATTTTTGACATCATAAATGTCACTGTGGTTATGTTTTGATGTTGTGATATTATTGTCGGTTTATCTATGTATGCGTGGTGGGTGACATTGGGTTCATATTATAATTCACAGAATAAGGAAATGACACTTGATGTAGCAGACACAAGTAAGTTTAATTTAAGTAATAACACCACATATTGAATATGATACACAATTCAATTCAGGAATGACCAGTATTAATCCTCTATAGAAATATGGCGAATATAATGACAATTTAGTAACTAATCTATAACCAACTTCTTTAAACAACTAACTTAACTGACTATATCAAGTGCTTTCTACCAACTCCCTATATTGACTGACTGCTCTTAACACTGGTTCACTTAAGGTCAAAAGTGTTCATCTGAGGGCAACATGAGTTGTGAATAACATTCACAATATAGAAATAACATTCACAATATTGAAATAGGGTTTCTACACTATGGCACCAACTTTGAGGTGGTGACAGATAGTTTACAGTAATCAGTTCAACAGGTGTGCACTGGGAAGTTAATTTGTATGGTCAGCATTGGGCAAGACAGCCACTAGTTAACAAAAAAAAAAAGACTATTCTGGTTATTCAATAATTTAGTTGTTAGTTATTTTGAATAAGGAGGTGCTGTGGCTTCCGAACCAATGTCCCGGGTTCAAATCCTTGTGAAAACTGATTTTTTTATTTTGGGATCTTTGGGCGCCTTTGAGTCTACCCAGCTCTAATGGGTACCTGACATTAGTTGGGGAAGGGAAAGTTGGGTGGTCGATGTGGTGACCAAATGACACCCTCATTAACCAGTGGGCCACAGAAACAGCTTACCTTTACATCATCTGACCTATAGATTTTAAAGGTCTGAAGGGGAACTATTTTTCAAACCATCAAGTGTATTAATAACAAAACTAATTACATGTAAATATATAATGAACTTTTCCTGTATGCACAATCAGGTGTGTAAACCGGTTAGAGCAAGCTGACGTCTGTTGTGATCTTGAAGGCATGTCATGGAAGCTCCTCTGTTTCGCCACCCTAGCCATTAAAATATTGCACATGATACAGTCGTCCCAGTACCAGAAAGTCGCCATACCCATTGCAGCAGCTGTCGAACAGTATTAGCACCTCCGCAGTATCCGCATTGGCATTCACCTGGGCAGGGTTATTTGTAGACTGTAATTTAGTCCTTCCAGTACGTAAGTAAATAAGACTTAGTTTTAGCTGCAACTTATTAATTGAGTTATAGCTACAACTTATTAATTGACGAGCTTCTGTCACATCTTCAATAGCTTTGATTACCTATCATTCTTCTAATTTCATTTTAGGGTATTGGACTCTCGACCTAGAACTGAAATGACCATGTCGACTTGGAGATTTTCACAAGCCGCCATTTTGTCGACAGTTTGTGTTTTCTTCATATCAGGTAGAGAGTTCTTGTCATTACGTTTGTCTGCTAAACAGCGAGCAGAAGGAAAGGGTAGGGGGGGGGGGGGCACACACACACAAATATTTGATTTAAAACTTTAAAAACAGACACTCAAAATGTTTTATTTAAATAGAAATGCCAATTTCAATATTCTTTTGGGTAATGGATACGTCCTTCGTAAAATTAATCATTCCTAGAAATACTGTTCATTCATTGGTCTTCTATGTTAATTCTTAATTTAATTTAAATCTTTTCTTATAAATTACATACATTACTTCAAAGAGAAGATAATTATGTACTACGTATATCCATGCATGTATGGCTGCCTGGTCGTGCAGTGAGCGCGCTGGACTGTTGTTCGGTGGTCTCGATGGTCCATACTGCTGCCAACTCCTGTCGTCTTGCGGGAGGTTTGGAGTTAACTGAAGGAACAGTGTGGACTCAAGAGCGCCTAAGGATCCCGAAATTCAAAATCCCAGTCTTCACCGAGACACCTCGTTTTGGAAGTCAAGTGCTTTACGACTTTTCAATCACGTCCACATTTTTGAAAATGCCTGACCTAAAAAAATGTTTTCCGTATTCTTTGTAGTATTTGATGTGTAGCCTACGTGCCACGCTGCAATGAAAGTGTTTTAATACACTCATTTTCTAAATACAATACAAAATAGAGCAGTGAGACGTATACATTTGATTAGAGTAACACCATTAGAAAAATCACTGAACTTAGAGACACTTGAGGACAGCAGAATAAAAAGTAAACGAATAATAATAAGGCTAGTCTTCGATTCTGAAGATTAATGAGGAATTCAGTATTCCCCGTGGTTACTCAGCCTCAGCTGTGACCTATTATGAACCATAATTTACAATTAGAAAAACAAAACCTAATTACATTTCTACTCTGAAAGACACAAAGATAAGGCACATTCATCGTTCCATATGGTAGAACAAATTCATACAAATACTCCTTTTTCCCTAGTGCCATTAGAGAATGGAATGGGTTGCTTGAACCAGCCAGGAAAACCAATGACTTGGCAGAATTTAAGCCATTGATAGAAAGGAATAGATTAACACAAGAACTGCGTAGGACGTAATTATCTTCTTCTTATCTTATACAATACAGACGTTACTTCAAAAAAGAAGATGATTACGCCCTACGAGTCATTCATATTAACCAATGACTTAAATTCTGCCAAGTCACTGGTTTTCCTGGCTAGCTCAGGCAACCCATTCCATGCTCTAATAGCACTAGGGAAGAAGGAGTATCTGTACTAAATCTGTCCTAGCATATGGGATGAGGAATGTGCCTCTATCTTTGTGTCTTTCAGAGTATTTTATTAAATTTTGTTTTTGTATTTGAAGATTATGGTTCAGTGTTTTATGTATAATTGCTACTTGCAATCATAATTATCATTATTAATTAATACTTAATTAATTAGTAATTATCATAATTATTGAAGTAACATCTTTAATTTATAAGACAAGGTGACTTCGACTAAAATCTACATATAACATTTCACCGGAAGTGATACATAAAAAAGAAATGATTACAAATAATCGATAACAACCTCGTTTTGAAGCACAGGTTGAAGCTATACTGTTAAAACAAATTTTTTTGGGGCGAAATGCTGTCACAGAATCCTAACGTCAATAAATGGACAAATTTAAAGTGTTTGGTTATCCAGTCAATTGATTTCTTTTTATATAGTATATTTCTATATGTTTGTTTTTCTTTAGTAAATTATTTTAGCTTGAATATCTCATAAACATTCAGTTCTTTAAAAATAATAATCAAACACAACATACTGAAAAACAAACCTATAAAAAATGTTAATAAACAATAAATTGGCAATATGCTAACTACAAAACTGTAGAGTTATATGCATTACAAATGTATGGTGCATCTACTAGGATCGACCCTAGCTACCCTTCTGTCCTTCCTAGGCTGGTGATAAGTCAAGAAGAAAAACTTGTAACATGTATGACCTACGACCTTAATTCAATATTTCAGGATTGTCAGTTGGGTCTACAGTTGCTTCTGATGGTATAAGTCTGACTTTATCAACACTCAAAGACGGAAATGACCATTGTGGCTATCTTACGTGTAACCACAGCAGCAAAGCAGATGTCACATTCTTTAATGAACTTAGAATCTACAACATTGCCAACAATGGTTCAAAGATAGCGTCTTTGTCTCAAGGTAACCATTATGTTTCTGCTGAAGGTGGATTTGATTTGAAAAGAAAATATTTAAGAAACTCTCAGGCTAGTCTTCAGCTGTCCATAACAAAACCAGAAAACTGCCTCTTCGGACTCTACCTGTGTGTTGTAGACTTCATCGATGAACATGGATCTAAACAAACCAACACGGCTGTAGTTGAAGCTGAAGACGGGGGCAGTGTGTCTTGTTCAAATGATAGAGTTGTCTTGAAAGCTGAGAAATCTATTTTGGACAGCTTGGCGAGAATTGAACAGACAATACTAAAAGATGATAAGTTGCTGCAAGAAAAAATGGACAGATCGCAGAACACAACAAATTTAATTGAAATGAAAATGGATGAAATTAATACAAAGTATGGACATTTCTCCCGGGTCAGTACTTTTCTTTTTCCACAGATCAGTTCTTTTCTTTTCTCTTTCAAGCAATGTTGTGAACTCCTGGCTTGGCTTTGACAGGGAAGATTTCATTACAATGCCACGACATTTCTTCATATTTTTTTCCCTTTTTTACTGTTTAAAGAATGTAAACTGGATGCTAGAAAACAAAGTGTAACTAAAAAACAGATTTCTATAATTGAATTTTACTGTGAAAGTTCCCGAGTCTAACAAAACTACAATTCATAATAAAACTGAGTTTTATTTCACAAAGGTTTTTGAGGAACTTGATCTGTTGGAGGATAGAACTAAAGAATGGACTTTGGCATTTCGTGGAACTCCTTTCATTGACAAAGCGGTTTACGAAGCTTACATTGACGGCACTGGGATACCTTTTGATGTTGAGATTGGCTGTAAGTAGTTTTTATGAAACATAAACATTCGTTTACCTAGAAATGTTGTTGAGTCTTTGTATCCTTCACTTCAAATTTGTCCAAGTTTATCAATGAGTTATTTATCTACCAATGCTTTACTTTACTTTATATCATGGTGCAATAACTACACTAATGCAATGGTGCTTATACAGAGAACTATTGAAAACAATCTTCAGACTTTAAGATAAGCCTTAAAATTCAGTGCTTTTTTTTTGTGACGGTACGCACCGCTACGGCGTACCGGCAACGTTTTCAATGTTGGGGAAATTTTTTTTACTGTTCTTG